TTCCGGCCTTAACTTCCTTCCGCAATTTCTCTCTTATCAGATCTTTCTCCTTTTCTGATCTCGCATGGTTATTATCCGGTGAGTAGAATTTCCAGCCTTTTAATCGATGCTCGGGAATTCCTTGGTGGAAACCCTATCTGAAACCTTTGATTATCCGTCTGTACTTCTCTTCCAGGCCTAGCTCTCGTGCCATCTTTTCCCATTCCTCCAAATCCATTTCACACTTCACCTCTGTCGGCCATACTTTTTCTTTTCCTTTTTCCTTCTCCTCTCCGTCTTCTTTCTCTTTAACTTCGACCTTGTCCTGGTTTCTCATTGATTCTGTCCTTTCTTCGGATTCCATTCGCAACTCTCCTGGCTTTATTCCTTCACTACGGCACCGTTGGTGCGCGTCAAAAATTGGGACAAATTTGGGAACAAACATTGTGTAAGTATTATGTATTTCATCTACCTCAGGGATCATATAGGGGATACATGGTTCGCTTCCATTTAACACTAACGATGAAAAGACGAATTGGACTGGGTCTTGAACGCATGTAGAAACTGAGATAGGTTCAAAAAAACACAAGAAAAAAGAAAACAGGAAAAGAAGAAAAAGGGGAGGGTTGTAAAGGAGGAACAAAGTATATATATATATATATATATAAGGATGAGTGAATCCTTCACATGGCCTGTCAACCACCATCCGGTGAATCCCTTCTCCTCCTCTCTTTCCATACATCAATAAGAGACTGATGTGGTCTCTTCTCCTCTTGGTGACTTCTTCCTATTACTTCCTCACCCTGGTCTGAACACGTATCTTATATTTGTGTCAACCGTGTGGATCTTGTCCCGTAAGGGCATCAGACAACGGAATTGGATGGGAATGAAAAAGAACATGGATCAGGTCAGATGATGGAATAGGATTGGACATGGGATCAAGCGTGAATCAGGGTAAGCTCTTCAACATTTCCCCCGTGTGCTGGACCTCTTTCTGCTCACCATTTGGTATTATTTTTCGCAGCATTACCACTGTTGCCACCTTTTGAATTTCCACCGTTTTCCCCTCCTTGGTTGTTCTGGGCGTAAGAACTGCCGCTAGGTTGTCCATAGTCTACCCAGTTGTTGTTGTTTGCATTGTTCTGATTCTGGTACGAACGAAACGGTGCCTGTGGGTATGGCGATGGTTGATAAAACGGAGTCTGACCGTAGCTTCCTCCGTAAGGTTGGCCGTTAGCGTAGCCACCGTACGGTACTCCAAACCCACTATGTAAGGAAGGAGATTACTCAGTTGTAGCATATCTTTAGTATCTGTATAGAGAGGGTATATATGTTGTCCATCCCTCTCCTTCCTTCCTTCTCTTCTCTCTGAGGTTTCTCTTCTCCACTCTCAATCTTGTGTTCCTTCTCTGACCTTCTGTTGTGGTCTAGGTATGGTCTCCCTCTCGGAGGTTTCTCTTCCTCCTCTCTCACTCTTTCTGTTCCTCTCTGATATCTGTTTGTGGTCTAGACCTCTATCCTAGTGAAATACACGTCGGTTATATATCAGTCTAGGCTTTGGCCTGCGAGTCCCATCCCAGTGAAGGTCGAGTGATCCTCGACCTTACACACTACCTCCAACAGGTGCGAAAGGTGCGCCACCTCTTCTTTGCCAGTTGTTGTTCTTGAACTTCTTGTTATTCCCCCTCCAGTTTCCTCCCACCTTTTCACCTCCGTTTCTCCTGTGGTTGTTCTGGTTACTGGAAGCGAACTGACGTTTCTCTGTGCTCGTGGTCGTTACCTTTGAGGTTGGCGCCTCTGAGCTGACAGGTTGTTCGTTTAGGACCTTCTGAACTGTGGTGTATGGGTTCTCCGAGAAGCTTTGTTCTCCTTTGGCATCACATTTGTCCTTCACTGCTCTTAAGATGTCCTCGTGCAACCGCCCCGCGTTACACATCTCCCGCTTTCTTGATGGTCCTATCGTCACCTGCATCAACAAGCGTCTCACCTTCCACAGGCACCCATTGGAATAGGTCAGTTAACATTTCCACACTTAGCCTTGGCCCTGAAGGCAATGGGGAGATGGAGACACTAAAGAGATTTATCTCTTACTTTCATGCACTAGCGCAAGGCTACCATCCAGCAGCTTGTTGACTGCCTTATCTCCATCACATTCTCCTTATGCTTCTCCAGCATCCCAGCAACTGTTTCCATATGGTAGTGCTCCTCCACGTAACAAATGAACAAATCAATTGCATCAATCCATTCCCCGTAATCCAACAAGAGTTCGTCTTTAGGAGTAAGACCGGTGTACGTGAAAGACTCGTCACCTTCTTGAAGTTCTTTGACTGACTTGGGCTTCTTTGTTGCTGCCTTTTCAAAGTCTTTGTCTATCCACTCCATGTTGAAAACCGTGAGTGGTACATATGCTCTCAGCTTTATCATGCGCTGATTGATTCTGTGTGACGACTGCAATAAATTCGTGTTAGAGAATTCTTTGTCGACAAATTCTATTTCCCCTTCAGGGTCAATTAGATCTCGGATATCCTGATCCTTGCGCTTTGGCTTGGTTTGACGTTGGCCGTCTGTCACTTCAGCTATTCTGGCGGACACTCTCGCGTCTTCTACCGGTGGATGTTCTGAATCGCTACCCCCGGCTACCAACGAAGCTGACCTAGGCCTCCTACCTTGCGGCGGTTCGACTGGATTAGTCACCTGAGGTGCCTGCTCTTCTCTACGCGTGACTCCAATCTTGAGCAGGTCTTCCAGGTTGTACGGAGGCTTGCCATACACCTTTTCGAACGCTTGTAACATCGTTCTACCCAACGCTAGATTGCCGCTAGCATAAGCTTCTGCAATGTTCTTCCACCATAGGTCCTTATTGTGATTGACAACTGGTGCCGGCGGGTTATCTGTTTGGATGCGGAACAGTAAACCAATTGGTTAGACTAAATGTTCCTGTGTTCCTTAAACACTCTAATCCTCCCATGCTCTTTAACATGGTCTAACATGGCTTCATGCGCGTTCGCGTTCCTTGGTCAGATGTAGCTCTGCCTGCCTTGACCCTTGTCGGATAGTCCCCGATGGATAGATATAGCTCTTCCAGCCTCAACCTTGTCGGTCGGATCTCCTTCTCTCTAAATTATCTTGGTCAGATTTAGCTCTGCCTGCCTCAGCTCTCCTGGACCCCCTCTACCGTTGGTATTACGGGTTATTCTGTGATAGATTGAAAGGATCTAGCTCCTACAGCCTCAACCTAGCGGTTGGCTCCCAATTAGAGAGTTGTAAAGGAGATGCTACTACTTCCTGGCGACAGGCCCCAAGTAGAAATCTATCCAAGAAGTCATGGGGTTGGGGTTGGGGGGGGTTGTGGGGTACACGGAGATGAAAAGTTTGTTCTTTCCCTCAAGTTACTCACCATTTATGTGTAACCTCAAAACCTGACGTGGTTCACGACCTTTCCCATCTTCCTCTCCTCCTTGCTCTCTCTCTTTCCCCTTCTCACCGTTCACTTGATTTCCTTCTCCTCCTTCATCATTGTCTTCCTCTTCTTCCCCTTCGGCTTCACCACTGTTCACCTCACCTTGTTCCGGCGTTTCTGGCACAAGAACTCTTGAACTCCCGGCTTCGTTCTGGTGTTCTTCTCTGTTCTTTGATCTGACTCTCGTTCCGGGTCCTGCTGCTCCGGCCTGCAAAGCCCCTTCCGCTCTTCTTCGCGATTCTGCTAATTCTTCGTCAAAAGTTGTCATCTTGTTTTGTATCTCGGATGTGTTTTAAATTGGCCTAAACCTTGGACTGTGTTAAGATGTAAATTTTTCTTTGAAACGTAATATATGTTTGAGAACAGAACGAGATGAGTTGTGTCAAAGATATCGCGAGATATTGCTTGTGCGTGTGCGGTGGTGCGCTGGAAGAAATTTTCCCTGGTTTCCTGTTTCACTTGGGAAACTCTACTACATGGTTGCACCACTCTACAAGCATATCCTTATATCTCACTGCACAACTCTGTTCCATGGAACTACACACCAAGTCGTGCCTTGGTTGGTGCTCACGAAGAAGTCGTCCCATGTGGTCTCAAATTCATGTTTATCAACAAATGAATTCACTGAGGGAATAGTGTCATCGTCCTTTGAGTGCAATAGATTGTTTATCATTCGACAAGAACCGTCGTTGTTCACCACACTCCCCATGGGGTTTGATCAAAAGAAACCGTAACGGTCGTGGACTTCTTGGTGAGTGAACGGTCCAAATAGCTTCTTCTTGTATTTCTCTTTTTTCATATTTCTTTCTATCTTCTCGCGTACGAGGTTCACTGATTCTTGATTCTCTGGCGTATACCATGGCCAATCCAGAATTGCGTGTTCAGGTATTCCTTGGTGGAAGCCTGACTTCAGACTCTCAATGACGTCACCCCACTCGTCCATCAATTCGAACTTGTTCATCGGTGCTTGCCATACCGGTATATCAAGTTCGCACACAACTTTATTCGGCCAACGTGGATCCTTTCCCGCCAATCTCATGAGTTCATCATTTGCTCTCAGGACTTTCACAGCCTTCTTCCCCCTCGGGTATGAATTGTGAGGGGAACGGGAAGGGTGAATACTAGGGCAAAACGAGCTATTGGGTACACAATCTCATCAGTTCACATTCTGTTATCTAGGATACTTCATTTCAATGGCGGGCAAATACCGTTGGGACATCAATCGGTACGCAGACCTTCCCATCCCTCTCTCTCATTACAAGGTTTACTCACTTCTTGTGGTTTCTCTCTGTATAACCATTATCTCTCCCTCTTTTACCGGCATTACCTGCGCCGTTGTTCCAACCGCTACTGCCTGCACCCCCAACTCCACTCCATTACTCGTACCTCCTTGGTTTCCACCTCTGTTCTCCCAATCTTTCCTCCTATTGAAGTTTTTGATAAAATTCCTACCTCAATAAGGGTTGAGGCCGGAGTTGTTGATCGCCGTCATGGCTGCTGGTCCGGTTGGTATTGTTGTTGCAGGTGTTTGTTGGGTTGTTGGTAAGTGTGACTCGTGTCTTTATTGAGCCCATAAGGTTGATCTAACGGACTGAGTGTTTTTCGTAACCTCCACCTTATCTACCGTATCACTCGTCTCACCTCTACCCACGTCATCCCAGGTTCCTTTCTGTCCTTCCCAGCTGACTCCGTTGACTGGGTCTATCATCGCTTTAACAGCTCCAAAGGCGTATGGGTTGTCCCTGTAAGTATCTTCATTTCTCCTCAGCGTCTCTCTCCCTGCTCTCTTCTCATACTTCTTGTCTCTAACCCTGATATCTGCCATCTTTCCATCTGGTCCGACCTTGAACGACATGTATGCTTGTCTCATCTCGATATCATACCTCAATGCCACCATCCAAGAATCTTCATTCTCCGCTTGGATCTCCAAAACATTATCAAAATGCTTCCTCATTGCCTTTACCACCTCATGTTGCTCATAAAACGTCAAGTAGGCCAAAAATAAATCTTTCTGAAGGTGCCATTGTGCCACCGTTGTGCGCCATTTGCTCGGAATAGGTGACCCGTTGTAGGTGTGCAAGTCTGCGTCCTTGGTCTTCACTCTGGATGATTTTGTCAAGACCATACTCATGTCTTGTCTTAGCCAGACTGGGTCAAAGATTGAGAGAGGGATGTAGCAATTCAAGTCGGACATGACTGAAGCCCAGTATCTAGAGAGTTGGACAAGTGTGTGATTCAAGGGATTGCCGGAGTCGATTTGCACTTGTTTCTTCAAAGTCGGTTCTGTTGAAGTCCCCTTATTCTCTCTCTCCCCGCCTTTCTTCTCCTTGAACTCTAACCACTGTCTTTGTTCCTCCACCAGGGCATCATACCTTGTTTGATCATGGGCTGTAAACACTTTTTCAATCTCCTTGTCCATTCTCTGGAGCAATCTATTGGTAGCTGTTGTAACAACTGGTTCTACAATTGATTTTCAACCCCCCAACACATGTCAGTATTCATAATATTCCTTTCATCTCTAGCAAGGCATTCCTTTCGGAGAATCTGATCTCTGTCCTTATTCCTCCTTTGTCCCAAGGTTCCCTACATCTCATTCTGAGGCATTTCCATGTGTGGAAGAATTATCATTCGGACACTCCCGAGTAGTCTGGGTATTTCCTCAAATATAGGACAGGATGTAGGGATCTCCGCAAGTTTATGGATGAGGGAGGCTAAGAACCTAGAGGGGGGGTGGGGGGGGATGGGAAGAATGACCCAGTGGATCGTTTTGTCCTTTTCTAGCTTACCATTAGATGATGCTGGGTTTTCCTCAATCACCACTCCTCCCACAATTCTATCATTCCATACGCTCTTTCGACTGTTTCCATTGTCTCCTACTGCCTCCCATATCCCTTCTTCTTCATCTTCTTCACTCTCACCTTCTTCCTCCGCTTCTCTGGTTTCTGGTTTCTGCTTCTCCCCCCTTCTCTCTCAGTAGCGCTTCCAACTGACGTATCCTCTTCTCCGCTGCTTCCTTCGCTTCTTTCTCTACCATCAACCGTGCTTGAGATGCCGTTTCCTTCTCTTCTGCCAGCTTAAGTTGTTCTTGCTGTTGTGTCAAAGGCTTGATCCTAATCAGGCCTACCGCTTTCCCTTTTCCCTTCCCTCTTCCTTTCTGTGTTCCGGCTACTGGTTGCTCCTCATTACCTTCTTCTCCTCTTTGATCTCCACTCGTTCCTTGTTGATTTTGCACTTGAGTTTGCGTTTGATCCTGGTCTTGAGTCTGAGTTTGATCCTCTTGTTCCGTTTGCGTTTGTCCTTCACCTACTTCTTCCTCGTTTCCTTCTCCGTTCCTCAATTTCCTATCAATCTGGTCTTGAAAACTTTCACTATCCATTTTTGTTGTAAAAAAATGTTTTTTTTTTGAATTATAGTAATTTTAATGTTTCCGTAATTTCAATGTTTCCAGTGAAATTGAGAATGCCAAGAGATCTTGAAAAAAGGAAAAGTGAGAATGAAGAGCAAACTTGCGACGGCTAGGAATTGTATCTTGAAGGTGTTCAACTAACAGCTAGGAAGTGGTATTCTACGGGTGAGAATTTTCCCCCAGTTTACCACTCCTCCTAGCGGGTTCTTCCCCATGTCACGTGAGTGACATGCAGAGACTATTCTTCTGTCACACTCAACCGGCTCCTATGGAAATCTTCCACATGTCGTACCTTTGGTGTGAAGGTGCCATTAAAAACAAATCCAGGTTTTACACCATGATGATAGTAATACTCATTTTGTAAAAAAAAACCATTCATTTTCTGATTCAAACTAGCTGTGCCTGTAAGATACAACTATATCTACATTACTTATTGCTCAGAAATTTCATCATGGTACAAATTTGGTTTTCTATTTGACCAAGTTTTATTTCTTGACTAATTTTGAGAATAAAAAGAATATGTAGAAACCCCCTTCAAAATTATTTTTTTAATTAGTTTTGATCACTTCAGGATCATTCTCAAATTGGTTGGCTGTGATGTTTGAATTACATATTAAGATGAGAAAAGACTGAAATTGAGATTCTTAATACACAGAGAATCCAATTTTAATTTCTTCATCTTAACTCTTCAAACTCTTCAAACTTTTTTGAGAAATACATTTGAAAAAGTAAAGATCATTTTGTTGTGAGTATATGCAGTTAGGTTGATACTATGATTTTTGTCTGTGAGGAATTGATCTCTTTGCAGACCCCCCTACTATTACCCAAAAACCATCTTTGGCCTTATATTCCCATTGATATGATATCAGTCCTTATCAATTCTTATACCAACCAGCCACCAATTTTTCATTAACCTTCTCTTAATCCCAATCCGATCCTTTGAAAGAAACCTTCAGATGAAAAATATGAAAATCTTGTATCAAAAACAACATGCATTTGTTTCAAAAGAAAAAAAATGAAAAATTAATAATACAAGTTCAACTATGTAATTTAATCTTCTTTCAATCAGAAAAATCAAAAAATCAAAATAAATCAAAAAAGTAAAAAATAAAATAAATAAAATAAATAAATAAAATAAAATAAAATAAAATAAAAAAAATAAAAAACAAAAACAAAAAACAAAAACAACCTTGGTTCATTTATACTATGCGAAACTTCTTGACATTTACATATATACCTATATATATAATGTACAACAATCCTTTTCATATTGTAAAAACAACACAATATAAGAAAAAAAACCATGATTTACATGTACAAAAACCTAAACCAAAGATGAAAAAGAAAAACTCCAATCATATATATATCATGCATCTCTTCAACAATAATTTTTCTTGATTCTCTTTTCTAAACCTTAAATAATCCTATAATCTTTCACTAAAACCAAAACCTCACTTACTTCCTTCACATTCCTTCAAGGTTTAAAAAATCCTTTTAAAAGCAATCATAAACCAAATCGAACCAATCCAAACCAACAAGATTCCAGGCCCATAAAGTCCCAGTAAGATCAACCAATCATAATTTCCTCTTAACCTAACCTTTGTGATCACCTTTCTTGTCATCACCAAGTCTTCCATCTCATTCTTGTCTTCTTTTTCTTCTTCTTTAGAACCTTCACACATCTCTCCTGTCTTGTAAAACCTTTCTAACATCTCGTCTTTCATTCTCCATTGTTCTCTTAACCATTTATCAAACTCAATCGTTTCTGATGGACTTGGATCTATGATTTCGGTAGCTGGTGTAGATGATGATGAAGAAGTTGATGATGGGTTTAGATGGGATGTGCCAATTGGAATTGAACTGATTGGAATTAATCTTAAGTGAATATGAACTTGTGGTGGTGAATGTCCATAACCAAAGATCGATTGTAATGTATAAAAATCTTGTCCATTCCTAAATCCAAATCAAAAAAAAAATCAACAAAGTCAGATTAATGGAGTCTTATGAATTTCAAAGGCGGTTTCAGGATTCATCAGATTGAAGTTTACCCGTATGCTGGTATGCCTGGATATCCGATTGTTAGATCAATCAGTTGTAAATCAGGAATACTTCGACTTAATGCTCTAATACAAAACAATGTACCCGTCGAACGTGGCAATAAACAATGTTTTAAATCTGTCTAAATTGATCATTCATTTCCAATCCCGAACAAACCCCAAGAATTATCATCAGTTTTTTTTTTCTTCCAACCTGATCAAAACAAGATGGTATGATTTAAGTGAAATGAAATTAAAGACTCACAAATCCAGTTTTTTCGGCATATTTTTGACTGATCGGTCGGGTTAATGGACTCACTAAAGTTCCTTCTGGAAAGATCAAGAGGGTTAAACTTTCGAATGCTTGGTTCGGTTTAAGTTTTGAAGTTGATGAGGTTTGCTTGGCCATAGTGGTTAAATGTTCGATTAAACTTGATTTATCTGATGCCCATGATCGGTTTAAAAAGATAAACGAAAAGAGTTGCATGGCCTAAGTGAAAGGAAAAAGAGATTTAGTGATTGGGTAAGAGAGGTCAGAGGGTAGGAGGCAAAGGCACTCACGGGTCCGATGATTGGAACCCATTTTAGTGAGGCTTTGAGGATTATGATGATTGAACCGTGGATCTCGGCAAGGTATGCTAGACACCTGTGATTGAAAATTTGGCAAGGCAATTGAAGATTAGGTTTGAAGAATTTATGGGAAAGAGAAATGAGAGACGGACCAGATGTATAACCAATCAGCATAAATCTAAGTTGATTAAATGCCGATTCATAAGATAAAACGCGTCAAGTTAAAAGATCAGTTTGAGTAATGAAAGGTATTTCTTTGAATCTGAAGCAATCTCGATCGAAAAAAATAACTCACTTGATGATTTGCCATTGTCACTAGAATAAGAATGTAAGGATCAGTAAGGAAATCGATGGATGAGTTTGATATTTGATCAATGACTGACCAGATCGTTTAGGTAAGTCAAGAGAGATCACTCTTCCAGACTTATCACGTTTTACCATTTGTCTTAAATCTATACCATCATCAACCGTAATAACAAGTTTAGTAGGACCAAAGATCTAAAAAGTAAAGCAAAAAAAGTCAAGATTAATGAGAAGAAGAAAATAAATCATGAGATAAGAAAGATAAAAAGCTTAACTTGAGTAGCCACTACTAAAACGATTCCAAAGACTTGTTTAGCAAAGGAATTTAATTTCCAAAAAAACCCATTAAACCCCGATTTAAAGAAAATCAAAGGAAAGAAAATAAGTTGAGTTGAATGTAATAATAAGAGTGAAATGAAAAATAAAACGTTAAAGTTGATTAATCTGATGATAGATTTTGATTTAGGTGATCTATTCTTGACTGGAATCGATTGAAATAAAGGTTTTGAAGTGTTGATAGTCATGATGGTGTAGGATTTGATGTTGATGATGGATTGATGGATTGGTGGATTGGTGAAAGTTGAAGTGGCTGTGTTTAGTGTGAGAGTTGAAACATATCAACTTTTACTTCACTAAGACTGACACTGATACTTACTCTTTCATATCAATCGAGATATAGTTTACTTACCAAAACCGTACAAATCATCAACACTATCACAGCAAAGAACACCAAAGAAGTCTTCTACACAATAATCTCAATCAGTCTACATTTGTTTGTTTAAAGAGTCAATAAAATCAACAACTTACATTAAATCAACCTATCAATGTTTATTTTCTGAAAATTCATCTTGTCAATTATGTAAATTTCTTTGGTTATCAAACTTCTTTGACAAACAGAATCTTCCTATGCGTGTACATATTTGGATTGAAGAACTTGGAATCTAATAGAAATTCTTAATCTCAACACGCGCCTAGCCCTAAACGCGCTGGCTAAAAAGGGCTTATTATAAGTTAAGCTTAAACATATCTCCATAGCTGTGAAAAGTGGTGATCATCATCAATTACAAGATCATTTATATGGTCTTGATGTGCTTGATAGTATACTTGGGAGATGTATAGAGCACATCTTTTCTAAAGTAAACTTCCATGCTATCTTTTCAAACATCATACACGAATATATGGTGAGGTGAACAATTTTTCATATGTCTTATTTGAATTATATGGCATATTTCCTAGTATTTTATTAATTAAGGAAGAACCTGAGTTGATTTTGATCTTGAAAAGTGTCCAAAAACCTGAAAGGTTTTCAACATCATACACCTTAATGTAATCAAGTAAAGAAGTAATATTTTTTAACTCTTTAAAAAAACAATCAAAACTTCACAAAATCAAACAACTTTTTTTGCATTACTTTTCACAAATTCATTTAAGCTCAAGAAAATTCATGTATCATTTAAGCTTCAGACTACAACTAGGTATATTTTCTTTTGAAGAAAAACTTGGACGTATAAAAGGAAACAAGAGAATTCATTTATAATAGAATCAAAACACACACATAGACACACGTTAACAAATTAGTAGAAGATTTCAGTTCGGAAAAGTAAGGTCATAGGTATATAAGTTCATATAAAGATTTCACTTTGATTCTATAAAACTTCAGTTTATAAGAAAAGTATAACGTATTAACAAAACAAAAACACATACATACGTCAGATATTCGTTATTTGGGATCTGGAAGTAATCGTCTTTAAATACTATCTTTAATCATAGAATCCAAAAAAAAAATCTTAAAAAGAATTTATAAAGTTCATTTTTCAAATGTATCATTAACTATTTTTTATTTAGAAAGAAAAAAAATTAAGAAGATCTTGGATTAGTATTAATGAAATTTGATTTATGAATAAGAACTTGATTCAAAAGAAAAATGGTTTATGAAAAAAAAAACTTGAATATGTAAGAAAACTTACTTGTGAAGTTTTTAGTGGATGTGGTATATCCTCTATCAAAACCTTTTTCCCATACCAAACTTCCATCTAAATCAAAAGTTAAAAAAAAGGCAAAACATTAGTTAAGGATCTACAACAAGATTGGGTTAAGAGAATTGATGAAATGATTTATGAAAAAAACTGTCATGTTTTTTTGTTTCTAATATTTGTGGGATGTGAGGGGGGTGAGTGACTTACCTTCAAGTTGTAAAACATATCTATAATCAAAAGAGATAGTAGACGGAAGCTAAAAACGAATAGTAACACAAATCAAAAACCAAAAAGTATCAAAATCCCATCCAGATTCCGTTTTTTTCTTCATAAAGTACTCTATCAAAAACTTATGATCAAAGTCTTTCACTTACTGGAATTTTAGATGTCCAAATTGATGAACCTTTAGTTTTTAATTCCATCTTAATAGCTTTTCTTGTTTCCCATTTACCTAATTCTTCTAAACTACCTAATAAGAAAGCTTGGATACTCGAAACTACCAAAATCCAATCCAAAAAAAAAACTTATCAACTTTATTGTAACCAAAACAAAATGAATTTGGGAAATAGGTGTTATAGATGACTTAACTATGTGAAGTTGAGGTGTCAAGGTTAAAATTACCAATTATCGTATCTGGAACTCCTGCCAATTTCATATCATTATCGCATTGATTTTCGTTTGCTAAAATTGATAAAGTGTTTCCCCAGTTTATCGGATTGAATTCTCTTCTTCTTAAATCGACTGTCAAACTAAAAAAAAAATCCAAAAAAAAATAATTGATAATAATCATCAGGAATCATGAGCCTTTGATCAAAGTATAAGGAGTTTTTGGTGATTCTCTCTACTTACAATGATATATCAGACCAGGTTAAGGCTCCAGCTGAAACAGACATTCCATCAATCCTACCAAAAAAAAAAGGTTTTACAAGATTTTAATAAGACTTTAGTTATTGAAGAAATAAAAAAAAGATTTCAAGCAAAAAAAAAGACTTACTTTGAAAATTGTTCATGCATAGGACCAATAGGTGGAATATAATCTCGAACCACATTCACAAATCCATCAGCATAAGATTTAACATTCAACAAGAGATTCTCACTATGTAAACCCGAACACCAAATCATCAGGATCATGATCACAAAGATGAACCAGAATGATTCGGACTGATCAATGAGACTTACAAGACCATTGAACCAGAGTTGTATGAACCAATAGAGATGTTGGGTAAAAGAGCTTGAAAGAAATTAAATGAGGTTTCGGTTACGTTGATGTGATTAACTGTTTTCCAAACATTTATAGCAGAGTACAATTGTTCTGCAGCAGCTAAAGTAGTAAGGTACCAAGGATTTCCATCATCTGTTCATGAAAGTTGATATTTTTTTTTGTATTAGTTTAAAACTCAAATTTGTTTTTTTTTGAAAACAAAAAGACACTTAACAGTATTCATCTTCAGGATATCTTCCAATAGCTATTGCAGCATTAAGAGAGAAACCCGAGTTGATATGATAAATGTTTCGAAATGAATCTACGACTGATTTATGATTGGCTAAGGCTCGACTCGAACAAGGTTGATAGGTTTCTTCATCACAACCTAGATCAGCTGAAAAGGTATGAATACTTGCTAAGATCGTACTAACATCTAAACCTGAACGTCCATTCTGTTATAGGATTCGGAAATCGATTTGTTTGAATTATGTTTTGGAAAGGATCATTGAATTTAAGATTTATCTTACGTTGACGTTCAGATTGGAGATTATGTAGTTCTTGTTCCAAAAGGACTGTAAGAAACATAAGAGCTGACCACCCAAGTTCCACGATCTAAGTTAGCAATTTCATCACTCGTACTACAAAGGTGAAGTCTGCATCAAAGTTGGACGTACCATTCCAGAGTTCTTGTAGTAGGTTGTGTTTGTCAAACCGAATAAGCTACTGAACTCGAAACCCTTTCGTAATGCCTTGTGCTGTACAGCTATAGTAAAAAAACTTGAGCCGTTGATCTATATTTGGTTTGAAATGGTAAGATTATAATTCTGGTGAATTAGTAATAGTATTGATGAGGAGAAGGAATGAATTACCTCCTCCCAAAGATCAAAACCTGTGAATAAAAGAAACCATTAGTAAATCGCAAGAAGTCACTGTATTTGAAGTTTTCAATCATCATACCAGTCATGTTCCAGTAGTTAGCCTGATCAAAATGAGTAAATTATCAAAAGACATGCAACCGATGGAAATGTGTTGCGGTTTAAGGGCTTACCACATAACTCAAGTCATTCTGGATGATTGGCCACAATACGTTGGAAACATAAGCTGGTTGAGTCGACCAGATTGAAAATCCAAAGTCTATTAATCCAGACGCGCGAAGGGCAGGTCCATCGCGTTGAGGTCTTCCCCTAGTAAACGGTAACCCAATATGCGCTTTTATAAGTAAAATGTGATTCATCTAGCACAAAAATTCAACATCTTACCAAGGCTCTAGGAATGCAGTCTGGTTAGGATGAAATTTAGGTTCCCCCAAACCTTCGGAGAGAAGAGTGCCTGACGGATTATCGACTCGTTGAATAGTCCCAACTGACACCACGTAACTTTTAATAAGAGGTTCTAACCAAGTACTTCCATGAATAAAATTTTCAATCAAAACTTGAAATGTTAAAGCTGCATCTCTAGTCCAACAAAAGAAACTGATCAAGAATTTCACCAAAAAAACATTGGTCATCAGAACTTTGAAGAGATTCATAAGCTTCTTGATTCGTTAAGCTTACTAATCCGGGCTGTCAAACAATATGAAAGAAACATCATCAGTCAACTTCAAACTTTCACTATGACTTCCACTTTATGGATCATGGAGAATTACATACTTGTACTTCGAAGGGCTCGCTATGACAACACCATCTGGGACCCCAATAGCGTTCTATTGGGTGAGAAGAGCATCCAGCCAAGCATAAGTCGTTCTTTCAACGTCCAATAAGTGCCTTGAAGTGATCTACAAGATGCTTACAGTTCCGTTGATTCCCCCAATATTAGCGAGGACTCCTTTACTAGAGACTTCAACTTGTCTAGAAAAGAACGAATCAAGAGACTGATCTAGTTGTTGAGAACTTCTAGACGTCAGAAGAAATGCTATCGAATAAAAACATAGTCTCATCGTTACGATCAAGGTTTCTGAATGACTGAGTAATGCACACTTGACGGATCGGCTCGTGAATTTTATGATAGAGAATGCTCAAGAGGATAGATGATGGCTAAAGTGAATTCAGTTTTTGATGGGGACTTTGCTATCAGTAATAGTGTGAGCAAAATGATTTCAAGATGTGAAAGCAACAAAACCAATCATTCAACTTGCTGATGAACTTTTCTCTCCGGTAAAGGAGAGATAGAATACATCCTCAAAAGGGAATATGTAAAAGTGTCAGCCTTTCTATGTTGTAGTAGGCACAAACCAAGCTGAGGATGCACCCAGCAAACTTCAATTGATTCTGACGAAAAAAACACTCCTTATCATTGGGGATCAAAGTAGATGTCTGTTTATTCTTTCCGATTCACCCACTTAAAATTCAAAAAATCAGTATACATACCGGAGCAATATAAGTGATGTGAATACATAGATTCCTGTGCTCCATGGGACTTGCTCTGTGAGCTCACTTGTGCTCCTATTCATATCAGGATATCAAAAGCTCTGGAGATGGGACGACTACGTAAGCAGCGACTGATAACCCCCAACGTGCAAAACGATGATAGAGGTGGAGTGAGTAGAATCAGTTACTTTCTTCCTTGACCAGGTATAAGGATCTCAAAGTGGTGGAAGATCTCAAATGATCATCGGACCGCAATCTATACACTCTGGATGCTGGTGCCATTGATATCACTTAAGGGGCTATGTAGAAGGGAACTTCAAGATGTAGGAATCTTTTTCGTATTCGATTTTCATCACTTTGCTATTCAACAAGATGTCTTTACCAATCAATCTCATCGGTCTGATCTGGATAGAAATCCGTTCACTTTGTTACCTTGCTTTCTGCGTCATATGCTGTGGTGGATTGTTTTATACATGTCAGCTGCGGAAGCGCGGATTTTTATCCTTCATATTTCTCGTTTGACTCCTATGTTATGAGGGCGCGGAAGCGGCCGCATGGGGCCTTCTGTTCGACAGCCAGCCATATGATGTTGTGGTAAGTTTGTTGACTTCAGCAGGTTCCGTTTGTTTTTGTAATGCCGCAGAATGAAGATGTTTTTTTCTCTTAATGCCAGGCGGGCTGGAAAATGGAAAAATGAATTCAATGGATCCAATTCTTCATTGGATTTCTTTCTGGGTTAGGACCTAGAAAACTGTTCTCTGTGATGGGTTTCTATAGACGGTCCTTCCAAATAGAAAAAGGGATACCTCTTTGACTCTGTGAATGCTGAATATCAGTAGAGCGGATTCTCTTCCACGACTTCTCTCAAGCCTCAACTGATAGGTGATAAATCAGGTGGGAAGACACTACATATATACAAGATTTTTTTTGCCAATGGCTTTTGATGGGAGGTCGAGGTTGCATAGGAGCAGCCAGTCAAGGTCATCACTCACTCAAGGTAGGTTTAAGCTTTGAGAATTTGATTGTTTTGTGGTTATGACGATCATTTGCTACTCTTGCTCTGCCGTACTTGCGATACCCCAGCTTACACAAAATACCTAATACATACACCAGTGATAAGGGTTCTCACTAAATCATCAAGAGCAAAGGCGGGTGATCTCGTTGGTGATATACATTACAATTCTCGCCTGCGTGAAACCTTATGAAGCTTTTCGATGAACTTTGAAAGAAGTTATATGCTACCAGCGCAACCGACCAAAAATATTGGCGTTTGAAAGCGCAGATTGATAATAAGTTACGATAATGCATACTCGTATTCTTCGGTATTTTGAGTGATCCATAAGATGATAGTACTATATACAGATCAAAATCCAATCAAATAAAATATCGTCAGTCTGGTCTCAAAATCGTCTTCAATCTGAAACGTACCACAACATGATCGCCAGATTTTGCAGCACGTTGGCCACCCCCCAGTACGTGAAATTCTCAGGGCCCCAATCGGGTATCACATATTTCAAAACAAGCACTGACTAAGATCGGACAATGAGTGCGGTCGCAGGCACATCAAAGATCAGCTCATTAACGGCAAACTGGATGAGGTGATGCTCACGATACTTCCGGCCAAACCACCAGCCAACAGTGCAAATCCAACAAACAACAGTAGTCTACCCTTCCAAACAACACTATCTTCTCCGGAAAAGGAGAACCCCTCTGAAGCTTCTGATAGTAGACGCTTCTTATCTATCAGATTCACAATCGCCATGCCCAAGGAGGAGCATAGCCCTGGAATCCTAGAAATCATGGATTATCTCGTCAAGTCAGTCAACCCCATGATAAATACGGAATGATCTTTAGGCTATGGATAAATTAGCGTACCAATCAGAGAATCGCACATGAACAGGGACAGGATCGAAGGGCGCGGCTGGAGACGGCTTCATCGTTGCGGATAACATACAGGCATCGATAAAAATCCACCCTATGACACGCGTAAGAAGCCGGTTTTAGTTTCTTCGTAATGAAAAAGCAAATGTCCTAGTCGATGAGCAGACAATAGCCAGCTTTTGTGCACCGTCAAGGGTTTTGAAGTCGTGTGTAGATTGTTGACATCTTTGGATCAACAAGAGCGTCACACTTACAGCCAGCTGCAAACAATGCGCCACTAACGTGAACGCCAGTCTTCCTTCCCGTAGATCCCAGGTCGATCTTGGGCAGACTGATTAAACAAAGCCTTGAGGGGTCATACGCCCGACGTGGTAGACTTATAGGTCCATTCGGCATCGCTCGAAGGTGGGAAAGTACCGCTCGTTTTAAGCTTTGATGAAAGTTCAATTGAAATGGTGGTGACTGAAACCTTCAAGTTTGTGTTGTAAAATGAGAATTGAGGATGACGATGAGTGAGTCCAAGTTGCGTTGTAGCTGTGAGCCTGTGTCGAACGGTAGCAGCCTGGCAGGGCTATGTACTTAGCTAGCCTGTATACCACTGATGATACATGTTTTATCCTTTTATCCACTTTGACATCCAGATATGTATGTACATACATAGACACATACCAACTATGTAATACATACTAGGGCTGCAACCCGGACCCGGCCCCGCACGGCCGACTCTGCCCGAGCAATCTCAGAGCGCTCACAGTACGCGCCCCGGGGCCGCCAAGCCTAGCGTGCTGATGATCACAAGCGCGCCCTGAGGGTGCTTCGGGCGGGTCGGGCGGGTCGGGCACCGGGGCTGCTGGTCATTTTCCTTCAAAAAATCCCATGGTAAGTCACTCTTACAGTTTTGTCAAATGAAATAATGACTCTCTGAGTGGTTTTTGTGGCTAAAAACAGCCCCTGGCCCTGCCTGGCCCCGAGGCGTCAGACTCAGGGCGTGCCCTGCCTGGCCCTGATCCATTTTGGAAGGCCTTCGGGCTTCTCTGAGGCCGGGCGGCGCTCCGGGGCCGGCCCTGAACTTTCAGGGCCGGGTTGCAGCCCTAATACATACCAAGAGTCAAGACAGACCAAGCCTCGTAGAATGGCGCACCAGGGCGCACCACATTGAATAATCAGGGATGCAGGTGTGACTCAAACCACTTTACTTCAGAACCAATGAAGTCATTGGAATACTACAAGTGCTAGGTTCTAGAAAAAAGTAAGGCACACAACTTTCATTTTTGGGCAAGGGCAAGTTGAAAATGTAAAAAAAAGTTTTGTAAGGCAGCTGCCGCATGGTAACCCGATGACACCCACCAATCCTCCTGTACTCGATAAGGATCTCATCAATTCTTTTAAAATTTTCAGTGTTGTCGTTGATCACATTGATCATATTTAAAAAAGAGATAAATTTTGATTTAGTAGATTAAAACAAAAATTTGTGATCACAAACAGAGAACGCCAAGAGAATCAGCATTTTGGATGTTTCTCTTTTCGAAGTTCTGGCATTGATTTATGATGATGAATGAACAACAATCAGATTGAAGCTACAAGTCTTTGAAATCGATAGATGTAATTGTCTATTTTTATTTCATGATACCACTCACATTATGATGTTCCTTTCTTTTGATTCTTTGCTGAATTTACAAAGAAATAACAGTAAAGACGAGCCAGAGAGAAAAATCAACACAAGAAAATCATAAAATTCACTACATTTGAATAAAAATCAATATGTTCCAAGTTACCTTAAGATTTATCATTTTATCGTCCTAATGCCATTAAAGCCGCAATGAATCTCAGACTTGTTTCTTCTTTGAAAATTTTAAAAGATCAAGATAGACAAAGGAACTTGGATCAAAGGGGATTGAGGAATTGGCAAACGTTTGATATGGTGGGCTTTATTGTGGCGCCACGGTAAGGCCCTGGCTAGAAAGGGCCTTACCGTGGCAGGCCACGCCGGGTGTAGGCCATGGCCCTGGCCATGCCCTAGGCCACGAAAAAGACTCCGGGTGTGAGCGTGACTCAAACCTGACCCGGTTTCAAAAGCCCTGTTGACCCAGTTGAATTTGTGGCTGGGAGCTGTCAACAAATGTCAACTTGATACACAAATCTACAGCAAAAAGGTTAACTGGGTGAACTGGTTTTTTCTACTGGGTCAGTTTTGAGAGGCTATTGACTTGACAATGGCAAAAAAGAAAATATCCAAACTAAACTGTCAAGATTTTGAATGTAAAGATATCTAAAAGTTCATAGTTGGTTGATTTGGCTCATCAGATCTATAGAGCAAAGATTCTCATCAATCAAGTCAGGTGGTAATATGAACCTTAAAAAAGATTTACTTCTCATAGAAGGTGAAGTGAGTATTGAGCCGAGTATATGAACTGGAGCCAGGGATATCTTAAGCTGTGAAAAGCAAAACTCCTCTATAAATCCAATGACATTGGATTTCTCTTGTGTGGCACATCAGATTCATGAGTCATCTCTGGTTCTTTTGATCCCATTCCAGCTTTTCAAGTGAGTGATTGGGGTGACTTTGGTATAATACAGGATAAGGTAATATAGAAGCAGCAGTAGTTCTACTAAGAAATTCTTTTTTATTGCATGTGTGCTTGAAGACTCTTGTTCTGGAAATTAAATCCCAGTTTCCAAATAGGATTGAAGAAGTTTTGTTCAATGTAGATTGAGTTAAAACAGAACAGTGATCATAGAGTTTGACAAATGAATTGTACTGAGATTGAATTGTTATTTTAAGAATCTAAAGCACATGGTAATCTGGAGATAGATGAAGTCAAATAAATAGATGGAGTGAAATATGTAGATTGAGTAAAAAATTGATGTGAAGCTTATTTGCGTAGAAACAGATGATTTAGATGACCAAGTTGTTGTTGATGGAGTATAGGCTCAGTTTCTCAAAGTTGATGAGCTCACCAAGCTTGTGCATTTTAGTGTTGAGTGATTTGTTGAAATGCAAAGTTTCTAGATTTCATTCTGTTCAATTTCTTTATTGGCTGCTTTGAGATTGAAGTCAAGAAAGTTCAAATGAGCAATTGGTGCAAACTCAGTTGAGAAAGAAGCAAAAGTTGCTTCATGAATAGCTCAAGAACTACAATTAAGACTCATTTCAAAGTCAATCACAACATACAGTAACTAAAACAGATATTTTGATAAGCGGGCACAAAAAGGAAATCATATTAGTAAAGATGAATGATGTTAAGGAGCACAGGAGGTAATTTAGATTAAGTCGGAAATCCTTACAAACAGAGAGGTAACTAAGCTAGTATTGATAAGTGCATGGAAAAAGCTGTCCAACATCAAAATCAAAAGCTTGATGATGATGATGACTCTAGCCTGCTAAGTGAAATAAAAGCAAATAAGATGAGGATCAATTGGTTGAGATGACTCGAGCTTTTAGGAGGCTGAGATCGATTTGAATACAATCGGAATTGGACCAAGATCAAAACAACACTCACCTAAATGACACAGGAGCAGTCAGTTTAAAGATAACTTGGAAGGTGAATGTCCACATGCAGTTATACCTCAAGGTGTGATTATTGATTCTGAACAGTTTGACTCGAACTTTTGATAGTGATAGCCAAATTAGTCGACTGTTGTATTCTCTTGATAAGTGACCAAAGACAATGTAATCAACCGCGTTTGCTCCTGCCAAAAGATACAATTCCTGAGATTGAAATCGTGATGATCGAGGTCAAGATGAAGCTGTGTCATTGATGGGAGCAGGGATAAAAAAATACTTTCTTACTATCCTCAACAGTGTCTTTGAAGCGATCCAAATTGAGATTGGTAATCTCAGCGCGTCTCTTCTTTCATGCGCTTATGACTTTCTTTGATTACTTCATCTTGTGGTTATGTAAGATTGTAATGATGTCATCGTATTAGAGTTCTATAAGAGTAAATCGTTGTTCTTTGTGTTAACTCTTTTTCTCTTATCGAACTTACTAGGCAATTGGCGCCCAGCCGCCACACAGGCATGGGCACGTTTCGAATCATGAAACAGAGTAATGCACGTCCTTAATTGTGTGAGCATGCCCCGAATCATTTTTGGGCATGAAGTGTTAGCAACCGAGGCGTTGGCCGGGTGTCGGCAAGGGACCTTGCTCATCATCGTCGTGAAGGGTTCATTACGTAGGCTACTTAGGCAATGAACATGTAGATGAACCACAATTGCTCAACAGAGTTATTGAACCCCTCTGCTACTCCTCGCCCCGTGCCACCGACCATCGTCGCAAAGGGTGCCAAGTCAATGCTTCTACGTCTACAGTTCAGGCAATGATGGCTGCCGCAATGCCATGAGGACCCTTCACTTGATGTTTCAAGCTTCGTGCCACTGTCCTAGCATGACCGTGCATGTTATTATGAGCATATCCTATATATACGGGCAATGAACCAACACGGAATGTATACCCATCGCTTCTCATTATCAGATATATCCTCTTGATCATCAATCAGTGTCACCGTGGCCCAATCCCTTTATTACTATAGCCAGTACATCGGAACACAACAACACTTCAATCATAGACACTATAACGATGCCTAAAATTAACAATAACACTCCTCTCCCCTCCATTTTCAATGACTTACGATTTTTAGAGGTTTTGCATCGTCACTTTCTACATTGTCAGTGGCTTTATTTCCAAACTCTACCATCCAAAACGTTGCATTGACAAAGATTTTGTAGACACCGAACCCAGCAAATTGTTCATATTTGAAACAGGTGTGACGACAAAGATGCACTTGTGGCAAAATTATGGCTTCCATATTCGAGAGTATGGTACTCCCCGGGCTTCATGTTTAGCGTTTGGATTGCAGCCGGCTCCCAAAGTGCGTGACCCCGACAGTAAGCTCCATCAACCTTTGCCTAATTTTTGCATAGATTCCGAACTGATTTTATTCTCCAGGATACATTGTAGCCGTTCTTAACCTAGACCCGCGGGAGCCACTACATGAATCAGTCTTTCAAGTTATGACTCATGTCGAAATTACGAAAGCTAGTGTCGATCGACATTATGATCCCCATGTGGAATAATCGTCCAGTATCGCCACGCTCTTCAACGGCACAACTTGCATTAACTCAGGCCATAACTTCGCTGATTTCACCAAAGCTTTGTAGAGGCCGAGTGTCCCATTTCCTTCATGCATGTAGGAATATAGGAGAGAAACGGTGTTCTGCCATACAAATGTTACTAAAAATGTTACTAAGCAGAGATAGCCGTATTGCAGTCTTTTGAACACTCCATTCGCAATGGAGATAACATGTTCTGGTGCACAGGAAGAGAATAAGAGACCCAAAGCTACTGTATCCTCACTCACCGGATGGCAGCCTCTCGATGCCAAACAGGAGAACAAGAACTGTACCTTGACACATTCTTTCACGTGTTTAGCCTCACCTTTTACCAAAGCATGCAATATTTCCACTGCTGAAAGTTACTTTCAGTTGCATTGCACATACCGTCAACTGTGAGAATGCCCAAACATGACCCACAGTTCCGCATTCGATACATTCTTTGACCTATCCACCTTCACGCTGCACATACATTACTCACATCGGTACTGGCACCGACGCAACATTTCCAACAAATCAATCGGAACAACATTCCAACTGATACTTGTTATGCAACCCGGATTCGCAGTGATCAGCATGACATGCTGAACAATTTTTTGCTTGCCACCCCCTCCACAACGATCATGACAGCCACGGCCGCGTAGTATTGGGTATTGTAAGACATTCCCCATCCCATGCCGCTAGCATCGTAAATACCAACGATACGCTGACTCAAATAGCCTCAATGCATATATGCGTCTTTGGCAATCATGAGCCCATGAAGACATCACACAAATTTCGAGAATCCCTAGATGCACTGTTCTTTTGCGGCATGTCTCAAAGCAACTACGTGTCATTACCGTTCTTGATTTGGCGATGATATTAGTAGTCACTCCAATGGCAATAAACATGCATTCCGTACGTATTCATGGGGCCTATATAAGTGACCTGAATCCACCCGCAATATTCCACTACATTGTCCCCAAAGTTATACAAAGCAACATGACATATCCTCTAATCATCACCGCTACCTAATTACCTGTCATCAGCTCGGTTCGTGATTTGCACTCTCCAGGCCGATACTATTGCGCTTACTTTAATTCTCTTTCAGCCCGTTCCTAGCAGTGACAAAGTCCTTGCATATCACACGTGCAAAACTCAGCTCGTCCTCGGCCATCGACACGGACGTCTCATCACAGAAGTAGCTTTCACGAAGGCTCTCTGTACTTCGTGGAACAAACTCTGCTGCGGCAGGGCTTACACGATATCTGGACCCTTTGGCCAAGACCCTGTTACTAAACAAGCCTCCATCAAGCATACGCCAATGAGCCAAGTTGACATTGGCCCTTGGGTATACCCACACAGCCACCTCGCTGGCAAAGCTCGCCTCAGCGGGATCGGCAAGATCAAGTCCGTAATCTTCGAAGAGGGGTCACGCCCTGGTATGCCTTGGAATGCAGTAATCGTCGTAACCCACGACTTCTCTGATCCTTTGGTCAGTGGTTCTCTCTTTATTGGCCACCGGTTTGATTCTAAACCTTCGTCCGAGGCCTGCAGACACCCCAGCATCCCCCCATTCCATTCGACATGATATACCACTTTGGTCATTACACGCCACTCCCCTATTATTGGTCAGACTTGGCGCCTGGAGCTACTATCTGGATTGACGCCAGTCTCTTCGCCAAAGACGCGAAAACTTCATCATTCATTGCCCAGGTATGTAATTACCCCGTTTTCAATGAAGTCAGTCAAATAGGAAACCCACCTTGTGAATGATATTTTAGATCGAGAATTACCAGTACCTGTCCACATCGAATACGCCAGCCTGAACCAGTAGTCAAACACTTCGATAGAAAGAATTCACGCTTTTCATATGTCAAATTCGCAGACGGTTTGATTCCTCATCTTACTCACATCGTCCTGATGCTTCCCGTCACAAGTAAACTAAAATTAATTATCGAAACCCTCAGACTCTTCATCTCAGATTATTTACTCTTATTTTGTCAGACCCTAACAAACATAAGATTTCGTAACTGTTTCATACATCCATTACTTGCAATTATAATACATGCACTTTAACCCCGTGACTCAACCAATGAATGCATCATAGCATCATTATGGTCATACTTTATCCTTGCACTGCGCGTCTTAATGACCACGCCCAGAATCACGCCCCTCATAGTTCTTCAATCCTTAGTGACATTCCAAACCAAGACTTCGCATTCGTTTTTTTTGGCCCAGACCCAATATTTCCTGGTCAATCCAAACCAATCCCCCTCGGCATCATCATCTCGCTTTCTTTCGAATATTGTTACGTATATTCAATTCATGGCTTAAATATAGAGCCGAGGTTTACTGACCGTTTTCTCAGAGAAACAGTCAGTAGACATTCCTGATAATGTAACACTTTGGATCTACTGCAGTCCCATCCTGGGAATGGAGGCACTTTTGATACGCGCGACGCTTTGACTCAACGGCGTCATCATGTATAAAGATGTCGTCACACAAAGTTGCGTTGCCCGGTGAGGTCCTGGGATGACTATAATTCACTTCGTAATTGAACTCAACTTACTAACTACAATAGTACATTTATTTACAATCAGCTCATAAATTGTCCCTTTTCCGCATACAGTAGAAAGTTATACCAATACAAGAGAAAATTACTTTGTTGATTCATATAAAGTATCACATGCATCTGTTATTAACACGCATCACGTCAAGACAATACACGTCTTGCAACAATCGAAAAAAGACTTTATCATCAATCAAAATCCTTATGCTTTGGGAACCACATCGATGTCAGTTCATATTCAGCACGCAGTGGGATGACATTACGTAGAGCGAAATCCTCAGTCATTCAGAAGGATTAATGCCACGCAAAAAAATCTTGTTTACAATGTTCAATGTTTCGGAATCCCTGCCTGGTTGCAATGTCACTCTAACGCGAGCTGCGCTGGTACACCTCGAAAGTGCCACATACAGTTGTCCATGCGAGAAAACATTGTTTGGCAGAGCAACCAACACATTCTCTAGACTTTGGCCCTGAGCTTTGTTAATGGTGATCGCAAAAGCCAGAGAAATCGGGAATTGGTACCGGTAGAACGGAATGGCAAAATCCGAGTCCCCGGAGTGTAATGATTTGATTTTTGGCAGCATGAGCATCTTGCCCCTCTGTTCGCCGGAGACAATTCTGCATCGAAGCGAATTTTTGCCACATTGGGTCACAACCAGGCGGGTTCCATTGCAAAGGCCTTGAACCAAGTTGAGATTACGCATTAAAATCACAACCGAGCCAGGTTTAAGTGCGATTCTGTGTCGGGGGAATGATGCCAGCTCGTAAGAATTCAATATCTCCGGTGCCACTTCTTCCACATAATCTTCATCCATCATGTCAATTGAGACGTATTCCGACTCCGCGCCCTCGATAGTGTTAAGTATATCGTCGTTGATTGCTTTGACATCTGCATTCAAAGGCGTCAGGATGCATCTCTTAGAGTAATAGTCGCTTAAATGTTGCCAATTCTTCGTCTTGATCAAGTCTCTCAACTCATTGTAATGGAAGGCGTTGGCATCTCTATCAAAAGCTTGATCTGGATTAGTGAGGCTGACATTGCATCTGGATATTTCGATAAATTCATGATCCTTTTCTTGCAGAATCCCGCTTCCAAGGTCTAAAAGCCACTTACCAAACTCAATGTTGGAATGAACTTCTTCATCGGATTGTTCTTCTGTTCGGCGTAATCTTACGTTGACCCGCAGGGCGTACTTCCCAATCTTTGGCCATAAACGCGAATTCCTGAGTGACGCCCGAGCTTGTTTTTCCATGGTTGCGCGTGGAATAACAGGTAAGGTCTGGCGAAAGTCGCCTGAAAAAAGTATACACATTCCTCCAAATGGTTCGCTGCATCCCCTCAGATCACGTAAAGACCTGTCCACACAGTCAATGACATTGGTATTTTGCATAGCAATCTCATCCCATACCAAGAACCTAGCCGCCTTTAACCTTTGTCCTGTCTTATCTCCAATTCCAAAATTACACATTGTGATATCGTGAATGTCGAGAGGCACCTTCAAAGCAGAATGTGCCGTTTGTCCTCTCAATAACAAAAGCGCAGCAACACCTGATGAAGCTACTGCTACACTATCAACATCGTTTAGTACCGCGTAATGCAATAGGGCGTTCAATACGAAAGTCTTCCCCGTGCCACCTGGGCCGTCCAGGTAAAAAAGCCCCGAATCCCTCTGCAGGCAATCTGTTACTGCGTGGTAGATATTCATTTGCTCAGTATTCATGACTGAAAGGGCATTTTGTACGTGTGCCGTACTCTCTTCAATACCGTGCTCTACGCCTGATACGCGCCGGTACAGTGGTCCCAAGCCACGTAAAAGTTCTACGTCTTCCTCAGGTAGGCCGGCTTCTTCAAAAGTCATGTCCATTTCCTGAAGACAATGTCTCATGCGGTGCAGTCCAAGCGCCTCATTCGTAGCTGTGTCGTATTGAAGATCGGGGTGAAGACGTGCGATGTCTCTTCCGCAATCGTCACTCAAGTGATGTTTATGTGTCATCCACAACGCACGCGGATCCGCTGGTGGTGAGTGCTTGAGCAAAATTGCAAAATAATTCCTAAGTTGTGAGCCAGTTTGCCACGACGATGCCTCAAGCATTGATGCAACGTAGTGCTCGTCGCTCAAAAGTAATCCCAGAGCATTCGCCGCCTCGCGGAACGTATCAAATACTACGCCATTCACCGTTCTAATGTCGCGAAAACTCTTTGGGCCTCGGACATGACCTAACAATAAGCGCAAATAGTAACGCTCTCCAGAGTGGATCGAGGCAAAGTAGGTTCGTGAAATGGTCTCAGATCTATTGACCCAATCTTGCCATTGATTCTTAGTATCATCCCAAGAAAAGTGCTTTGGAAATTCACTATATAATAATGATTGTGCTCGAGTTTGTGACTTTGTAATGAGATGATCTTCGCGATTGAGCCGGAAGAAATCAGTTAGGGTGGTTCGCGCTGCCTTTCCGCTTTGAATATTTGCCTCGAGTTGGTCTTCGTCCCGCCAAGCTACGGTTTGCGCATCTTCCAAATGAAGGGCCAAACGCTGCACAGCCGGATATCGGCCTGCTATTGCGAACGCATACAGTCGCCACGCCGCTGAAAGAAAACAATGAGATTGGAACCTTTACACGATACGGGCCCATTCGAATGATTGCATACCTTCAGCAGCACTGACATATCGGCCATCTATGTGTCGAAGCGTCTCATCCCCCTGTACAAAGCTCATGGATGATCGGTCATGACCTTTTGATATGTATTTGTACAAGTACTTAACGGCTTTGATGCCCACTGGAATCTCTACGTTAATGTGACACTCGTATCTCAAAAGGAGATAGGCATTGTAGGGCACAACATCCGCACTCGAGCATATCCGTCCATTCTTCTCGATTGTTCTTCCAGTAGGCGGACGTTTGTAATAAGGATATGAGCTTTCCGACATCGTAGTAACTTCATTTTGGTCTTTTGGATACCCATACTTGCATAGACCATTGCGCCAACATGCTCTCTTCTCGCAAGGCCCGTGAATCATGTGATGTGAAACCAAAGCATGTAATCTGGGATTCTTGGCGGGATCGGGAATTTCAGCGGACACCTGCAAATCCACAGCCTGCGCTGTTCGCGGGGTAGAGGTCTTATCCATTATTAAGACTAAGTGAGCATGGGGTAATGCTCGCTTTTGGAATTCTATGGTATAGACGTAAGATAAGCATTTGCCCAATCGGCGCCGCTTCGTGACATCGTCGAGTAGCGACTGGAATTTTAAGTTGAATGCCCTAGCTATCAAATCGGGCCGATCTTGAGGTGTCTGACCTGGACCTAGTTCGGCGACAATCTCGGGCCACTCCGGATTGGTCGTCATTGTTATAAAGAAGGACGGTTCCCCGTGTTCCTTTACCAATGACATTGCATCATGATAAAGCTCTGACATATACCGCGCTCCGCCGGTGAATGAAGATGGTAGAATGACTTTCTTCGAAGGTAACAGATCGTGTCGTCCCATGGCTTCGATAACTCCATTATACAATGCAGAACGTAAAGTTACCTGATTGTTGCGCAAATATTCGAGTCGCCAATGCTCAACACAGACGAACATGTCCACAAGGATTTCTTGAAAGAGACGTCCAGCAGCCAAGATTGCAGAGAAAACATCAGGCCTCGAAAACAAAATGTGGGCAAACCACTCTAAATTGGTGATTTTACCACCGCGCCCTATGAGAATGATCGGTCAGTTTATACGTGCCTGACCACGCTGTTAAGAAGAACTCTTTCTCACTCAATACACCCGGTTGTCGATAATGTTCATCATAGCCCTGGGTACCATAGGGCAACAAGATAGGATAGCGCAATGCAAGATACGACGTGTGAAGGTCCGAAACGCTTTCCATAGTACCCTGGTGCCGGTAAAGAATGATATCTCGACTGCCTTCACCCACGAGACCATCACCCTTGACAATTACCGCCACTTCGTCCGCAGTCGGAAAGTTATACCTCCTCGCATCTCTTCCAAGTAGGGGCATCGTCGTGAGCTTTACGCCAATATCAGGCTCGGTAGTGATGATACTCCCAGCATATTTGAACATCTTGGCGAAAGGATTCCATTCATAAAAGAATTTCATAAATCTTTCTATGATACTTCGATTCAATGGATTGACTGGCCTAACTACACGGGGAGCACCCTCTTCGCCTGACACTGGCTCAAAGCGCCGTGTGGCGCGCTCAGTAATCTCGCCAGTTGCCCCATCACCAGTTACGTACACTTGAGAGTACGCCGCGCGTTGTCCATCTTCAGGCAATAGGCCTGATATGTTATGGTGAAGTGCTCCCGAGATCCTAAACGTGTTCACGCCAAAAGGACCGTTAACGGTATGGTCGACCTCGGCCCCAAGCGAAGTGAATGAAAAAGCATTGTTGTATCTTCTAATATCCCGTCTGAACTCCTTGTCCTCTAGAACAGATTCACATTAGTCTATGTCCAAGACACGATGGGAGACCCATATCTACTCACCACGTGTATCGCCTGTGAGTAAAGCCTCAAGGAACAGAGGAGTTACTTCTCTCCCAGCGTAATCGGCAGGCAGAGTGACTTGACCCTTTTGGCAGCATTCTTTGTAAGCGTAGGGTTGTGATTTAACAGCACTTTCGGGTCTCTCTTCCTTCCAGTGGAGTGCACCGCACCCAGTACAGACATCGTTACACGGACCCAATCGGTGCGGTATTTCGATACCAAGTCTTCTTTTCAACGATAGCTTGGTTGCCTGTCCTTCCTTCGAGATAGCTAGACCAGAGTTTGGTCTGCGCGGCGCGACATGCTGGCCGGCAGGCCTTCCTCCAGCAGTCGCGGTATCCCCTGGAGTGGCACCACGAGTTGCTCCACGACCACGACCACGGGATACTTGTTCACCACCGCGAGGAACAGTCCCTCTAGATCCTGTGGCTCGACCACCCCCGCGTGCAGGCATGGATATGTATCTTATTAATATAGAGCCTCCGTCAAGGTATCTGGTGATTATACACGCAGGCAGATTGCTGCTATCGCTAAGAGTATAACACCGCGTCGAGGCAAAGGTTTTGCCAGTGCTTGGAATTGGTGGGATTGGTAAGTGCTTGTCGCCTTGTATTTGATCGCGACTGACAAATTGATTGTTTTTCACTTGTCTTCGTCGTTCGCAGTAAACAGGCTGATGTCCGTAGATAGGGAAAGATCGGAATTGATGCCTAGTGAGCCGAGTTGAAGGTTCCAGCGAAGCCCCACAAAGTAAATAATTTGCTAATAATATCGGCAGTTGAAGCAGAAGCATATCCTCTTCTTCTGCAGAGAGATATCGATTGACTGTAGATGGAAAGAGAGAATACGCGATCAGGCACAATCTTAAAAGCTCCATGCACCAAGACGGAGTGCAAACGCGTGTTCGGTCCCAATAATAACCACTCGTTAGGGAAACTACCCCGTAACTTCAGGCCGATAGATGTTGACACCACTTTGATCGACCATGGTGCGGCAGGTCACATGTAGCATTCACTACGTGACACCGAAGTTTGCTTTGCATTGTCACCAAGAGCAATACATTGATCAAGAAGTGAACAAACATCATATGTATCGCAGCCATAGCGGTTTGACGAAGGTAAGCAGCATGCAATAAAATCCTTGTTTGTAGTGGGCCAAAATGATTAGGTCTGGACATCTATTTTGCAAAGCACTGTCAGCGCAACCACAAAACGATCGATGAAAGACCAACGTTTATTAATGCATAAATATTGTCATACCCCAAGTTTGACTGAAGCGCGCCGCGGCTGGGACGCACATCATCCTCGAAAACTATGCTGATGAGCCTGAGGCGAAGTCAGCGTTAGTTGGGACGAAAAAGACATAGAATCCCGAGAACGCCTCACGTCCCTCGCAAAAGAAAGTCTGCGTCACCTTACCAGTGACTCGAGGACTCTGCTAACTTGTAATGAACCTGACCAAGGGTTAACAAAGTGTCACTGGCTACTGCACATCATATTCCAAAGCTTAGCTACACAGACAATTCAACAGAGGCGTGTGTCATTTTGATACAGCAAGATTTCACACGCACTGGTTCGCTCGTTTTACACTTTTTCGGCGCTCTGGACCGTGCACAGGGGTGTCTCCTATGTACCCTCCATTGCAACGGCAGGGTACAAAGGGCATGACAATGTATTGTACCTAAGCATACTACCTATCGGTTGTCTTTATAAATGAATGTACTATGAATTATTGCTTGTAAAGACAGTAGACAGAGTCGAGTGACAATGAGTTAGAATAATTAGCGGAGACAGTCGTTCCAGAGAGAATCATTTAGTGTAGTATGCTATCTTACTCGTAAGGGCAGTCATCAGAGTCTGGTGACAATCAACAGGAATAATGGGGGGCGCACAAAAGCCTCGAGGAGATTAGGATACAAAGGATCTTCCTCAGGGGGTGAACAGATTAGGGTGATGGTGAGTTGTTAGATTCCACGGGCACACATTTGACCACGAAGCTCCTGCAAAGAAATTGCCGTAGTCCGAAGAGACCTTTGAAAAAGAATTTTCGCAGTAGCCGCGTGCAGATCACGAGTGAGCCGGCAAACCGATGGAGTAACAGAGGGTACAATTCAAAATGATCCCCTACGACGCCTCCGGTCAGATCATTGACCTCTGGGTCGCTTGCCGAGGGAGTTGGCCGAGGATCGTGCGCGTGGATTGACATTTTCATCTGCTACCTCAGCGGTGGGTTCCAATTCCTCAAGGATTCTTTCGATGTAAGCAGAGATAGTCAGTCAACAGATGGTAAAGTAAGCCAGCGATGCAGGAACATACCCAGTAAGACATGCAGCATCAAGTTGAGCTACAACAGGCGGATCAGGTGAAGATTGGACGGAGCCCGAGGCTGTTCCTCCTGAGCCGGTCCGTGCAGGGGAAGACATGGGAGTATTAGACCCACTTGGTCTGCGGAGTTGAGAAAGCCAGTCAAAAATTAGTATTCCGGGGAACGCGATTGTTCTTGGTAGCCTGACCTTGGGAGTCTAACTCGACCAGCTCGGGTTGTGCGGGATTGACCAGTGGCGCCACCAGTAGTCGGTGCATTAATGTTTTCGTGTCCTGTCGCAACCGAAACAGAATAAACCTAGTCGCAAGCTGTCAGTGGAGTTGAAATACGCATCGAGTTCAGGAAAGGACTCACGTCGACTTGCAACATGTGGCGTGTCATATCCCGGTCAGTGATGAAGCCAGTGATAGTCAACTCCCTGCCCAACTGAAACAGATTCTGACACTTGATCAGGTTCCTAACTGGGCGGCACCAGTACTCGATATTGAACTCGACATTGCCGGATGACTACCAACAAACCCCTAGTTAATGATAACGTCGCGACAAAAAGATGAATTCAGTAAGCCGCTCACCGTAGGGTCCCAATCGGTGTGTCGCACAATCACTACAGTCGTGGGTGTGCCCCCGTGTTGCTCCTCTACTACCGTGCGCCTGTCAGTAATGACACCTATGGAATGAATCGAAGTGTTGTCGACCAGGTTACCTGGAAACGTCTCAGAGTTGCCGATGTGGATATTGTGACTCATTTCGTGAATGAAATGCGGTGGTGTAGCATTGTTTGGTGCGATGATCTTACACTTTAAGGCATACATCTCAGAAACATTCAAATTGATACCGAGGCCGGAGTAAGCGGACAACAAGATAGGGTGCTCAAAAGCAGTTTGGCCGTTGATACCAGAACAATTGATTCCGGAGTGAACAGTGCGCAATCCTGACTGTGCTACAAGGGTACTTGCAATCTTAAAAAAAATGTCGGGTAGGAAAACATGTTAGATAGTGAACCGACGTACCTCTTCAGTGACTTCAAACACACCGGAGGCGTAGGCAGGTTGAGAACGACGGGCTACGTTGGACATGGCTACGACGTATGCGATTGAAAATAACACTACGTTAAACTGACAAGTTATAAACAGATTGCTTCGAAATGTGTAATAATGGCGCTATGCGGATGAATAGGGCCTACTTTGAGCAGAAACTAACGAATGATTATGCTTCAATTACTAATGTTCTCTCCAATATAATATAACGATGTGCAGACAAGGGGGTTAATGCAATGAGGCGACGAGTAGTGATTCATCTAGTCTGCTTTTATATGCGTACTTGTAGATCACTCACCAATCAATTATCGACGAACGTCGCGACCCTATCCCATTCAGTTGAAGGGTCTCTGTATGACCTTGGCGTCCAGGGCAGCGAACTCCAGTGCCACGGGATCGAGCATCCAATGAAAGGTGAAACCAATCATGGCAACCTCATGACACATATAGTGGTCATAAAGAAGTTAATAATACGAGCTAGCATGGGACATTGCTTTCTTCGCTCCGATAAAGGAGTCCTCGTCGCATATTTTACTATTCTGGCGAGACCCGCTGGATACCGTGGTATAATGGCGCCCACCAGGACCCCAGGCCCTGAAATCCCTATGCCCGTGTTCGTGTCAGGAAGATATGTCAAGCGCAACATTCCCTTGCAGAGCATGATGACATCTTCTATGACGAATCAGGACTCACGGCCAGAGTAAGCTGCGAAGGCTGGTGGAGCCTGTTCCCTGTTTCGACCCACTTGTACTCGCACAGGGTTCGGAATATTTTCATGCTCTTCTTCACCATGATCTAGAACATGGTTTCAACACGCATTGCGTACGAAATACAACGTGCATTCCAGGCAATTATAAGAAGAGAAGAGTCGATGGAGTGTAACACCATGATCTATCGAGTAACAATGTCAACCTCAAACCTCTACATTCCGCAACGAGCCGCTTGCGAAGACATAATAATGGTAGATAGCCATGACCCGGGCGTCCCTATACTTGCCACACGTTCAGCAGCGTCCGTGTCAACAATCTAGATGGGTTGCAAGGCAGGACTTGCTACTGTAACCTGAAGTCAATGAGTCAGTGAGTGGTTATACACGGAGTCAGTACAGTGCTCACATCGATGATCCATTCCTGGTCAACCTCGTCATATCCATAAATCATACCATCAATGCTCAGTATATGACTGATTTGAAAGAGGCCAAGTCCTATATTCCTCATTGTGATCCGCCTAAGAGTGTACCTCATTCAAAAGGAAACTACATCGAGTGACTGGTACACGGTATCAGCTTCAGACCATTGCGCAATTGAGCAAGGTACTCAATTCGGAGCACCAGTCTCGGTGGCCAACCTCGATGATCCATTGCTGTACTGCGGGCGAGTAATAGCAGTCAAGAATGATCCCAATGCTCGTCACAATGGTTATCTCAGCGGCCCGAGTGAGGCTTTCTGCGTCCTGGGGCAACCTGGCCCTTCGCACTGGTCCTGGGTGCAGTGTTGTCCGTCCTAGGGAATGGTTCACAATCATCCTTCCGTGAGCGAAATACGCTAACCCTCCTTGGAGTGGCGTGTCAGCCGACTCGATGACCGTGACGGGGACAAGCTGCGGACCATTGAGTGGAATGGGTATGACACTGGGGTATCGTGGCAATGCTAATGGATAAGACCAGGTAAGGGGCTCCTGAACAGAAGTTGATGTTAGATTACTCGACAGGTTATGTGATAACTATTTGTAACTCACCGCGTCACCCAAAAAAAGTGCAGATTGGAATCCGACAGGCATGTACGTAGGGTCCATGAGGTGTATACTGACTGCGAAGAGTTGTTGCTTGTCGTAATTTGGCTGTCTTCGTTGGCGTAATTTCGCAAGCACTCTGGTTTTATACATCAGCTCCCCAGCGTTGCCGAGCTACGTGCAGGGATTGAGAGAATGATGGATCCTCACACAGACTACCCAGCAGTGACCACGACGCCCAACCAGTCAGGCCCAACGGCATTCGCGTTTATAGCCAGGCAAAGGCAACGGGAAAAGAGACAGTTTGAAGTGGGCTAGACACGATCACACTTGCCACCTCGATGATGAGGCTGATGCAGCCTTCGCATAAAATTAGATTACCCCGGTGTCATACATGTGCACAACTGGTCTAATTGGTGTCATACGTGCATATAAGTGGGAACAACTGGATCAGAACAACGACATGCCCAGCCTAGAACTACAGCAAGCCTTACAGCTGTGACCCCGTCACTCTATCCGCGTGGACACCCATTAACACGACACGCAGTCAAGCAAACGCCCGCCGCGAGAGGCTGATGAAGCGCAGCACAACTTCAAAAATGTGAAGACCTAGTGCGGCGAAGCGCTGGTGGAGGGACGACACCAGCCAGTACTACAGACGCATCCCGAACCTACAAAGCATACGTATGTTTCGACCACGAAGAAAGACTGCGTGAGGGACAATGTGCACTTACGGTCACAGCCCACAACTTCTTCCTGTAACAATAACCCATGACTCTACCGCGGACAGCCACAATGTTACCGATGTCAAAGACTCACAATTGCACTCGGGCAACGACTGCACCAGGAACCTCGTAAGCCACGTTGAAGTACGTAAGTCGACTCAACTACACCACAGTCAGTTTTTTGCATTCCAACAGCAAGGTATTGCGACGACGTACCGAAGCATCCCAAGCAGTGCTCATCGCTATGACTATCCAAACCTCTTCGTCGGTGCCAGCCAGAATCACACTATGACGACGTACTACGGAGCAAGTACTTTCAACTGAGATTTCCCTGTACGGCATCGGACGTTGAGACGAGAAAGCATCCAGAGGCGTAATACTGGCAGCATCGACAAGGAAGATAGTGTCGACATTTCGACTACGGCTGATGACTTGGCCACTGAGCCAATACTGACGGCCCGGAATCAACTCGGCGTGTTGGTTTCCCGCAGCGATGAAAAACGGTCGAGTGAGTCTGTTGTGGAGACAGGCAGGGGTACTGCCGTAGCAGCGTCGTGTACCACCTCCACTGGCTAGACGTATGAACTACTGAAAGGTGTCAGCGTCAACAATTGTCCGTTGCTCTGAAACAATTGCACCTCACCTCAGCTTCAATTAAGAACGTACCGCTCCAGTACATAGATAGGCGTGGAGTGATGTTGATATCCATGGCCTCGTAGTAAATACAGTCACAGTAATATAGTTCTTTCGGCGATAGGAGAGTGCGAGGAAATTGGTGATAGCCAAAGAGAGACTGTGTGTGCAGTTTATAAACCTTCAATCGTGAAACCAGGGCCGTTGACGCTGCGGGGTAGCGGAACTGGTCAGTTGCTCGACAACATCAAAAACGTCAGGGAAAGGGTCAGGGTGGAATAACAGCAGGTCACTCACCCGTCTCAAACGATAACCCCAACCCGCTGCAGACGTACGACGAGTGTGAGAGCCCCCCCAAGGTGGCCGTTGCATGACTTGCCATGTGGCACGGAGCGCCTACGTGGAGGAAAAATTTGGGCAGGGAATCAACGTCCGCGGAGATCATGGCAAAAGAAGTGATTCGCTCCATGACTTGCCAGCTTGCAGTGGCATGACGTTCGGTGTCGGTGATCCTTGTCGAGGGAGGCCAAGGCGCTGAAAGACGTAGTCGTAATTAATCGGGGGGCGTTGGATTCGGCAGTGAGTCAGTAGCATCCAGGCACGAGGCCCGAAAGGACGCGTTCAATGGCACGGAGGTGAGGTCAACATATAAGGCAAGTGGCCATAACAGTAGTAGAAAGATATAGATTGTAACCCGCGGGGTGATATCCCGTCCTGAGATTGGACCCCCCATGGGTTGTGTAGAATAGTCGTTACAACTGACAGTGCCATACAACCCTTGATGTGGGCAGTCGTTCACTACGTGGGGCAATTACCGTGAGGCACACGCAACGTGCAAAGAGACGCCGTGGGTAGCTAGACGCAGGACCTAATCACGGAAGTGGGCCAAATACCGTGTAGCACTCGCAACGTGCAAAGAGACGCCGTGGGTAGCTAGACGCAGGACCTAATCACGGAAGTGGCATAGTGAAAAGACGGGACAAGTGGTTTTTTTTTTTTTTGCTAAACCACTTTGCTATATTATATATAGGTGGATACAGTCAATCCAAAAAAGCTTGGCCCGCCCAGTTTTCGTAAAATAATATTTTGGCCTGTATTGGCCAAAATATGCTTGTATTGAGCCTTCAATCGAGATAGCAATATCTCGATTGAATTTGGCCAGTTGACCGCTCTTGAGTGTAGCTCAACCATCCTCATCGCCTACAAACATCATCGCCTTCGTTCTTCCAGTTTTGCCAGATTCGAATTCACTACAGAATCAAACTTAACATACAGAATGCCGTTCATCAAGTATAGCCCTCAACTCAAAGTGATTGCCCTTAACAAATGGCTTCTAGGACAACCCATTTCAGCGATCAACAACGAGCTTCTCACCGATATATCTGCAAAGTCCTTCAGACGATGGAGGAATCTTTACGAAGTCACTCACTGTGTCATCAGAAACACCATGACCTACGAGAAACGAGGCCGCCCGACTTTGTACTCTAAGGAGGACCGCGAGTTCATGATTGAGCTTATCGAAGACGATCCGACCCTTTTCCTGGATGAAGTTCAAGAGGCGATGTATGATCACACTGATCTACTCGCATGTCGCCAGACTATCGCAAAAGATTTGAAGGAGAGGCTCTTCTTAACGGTTCACACAGTTTCAAAGGTCGATCCCAACCAATCCGCGGAACGACGGGCAGCTTATTCCATCCGGATTGCTAATGTCGATCCCAAATGCCTTGTTTTTTTGGGTAAGTTCAATCTCTTTACTTATCTTCAATTGAGGATTCAGTAACTGACTTGTTTTCCTCTTTCAGACGAGACCGGTCTAACATCACAAGAAGCCATGCGAAACAAAGTCAGATCAAAGAAAGGCGAACGACCTGCAAAGTTGAAGCGAAGAAGATGTGGACCCCATTACAGCATGCTTGCAGCCATATGCGAAATGGGGTTACTCGCAGTACACTCAAAGGTCAACGCATACCTTCGAAAGGATTTCGAAGCGTTCCTCAAGCACATCTTGGTAAGTTTCTCTTATTCTTTTCTTCTCTCTTTGTATGCATTCAATGAAACTGATTGTTATCTATTTCATATATTCCAGCTGCCTGTCATGAACCGATACCCAGCTCGAAATTCGGTATTAGTGCTGGACAACTGCACCATCCATCATGGTGGAGCAATCGAACGCCTGTGCGCATCTTTGGGCATCCTTGTCCGTTATCTACCACTGTACTTACCGGATTTCAACCCGATCGAGCGAATTTTCAAGGTCTTCAAAGATTGACTCAGGAGAAATCAGACTTTAGAGGATGCAATCAATAAACTAAGATGTTTGATGGTGATCATGAGTGAAGTATCCACGAGTACCCTGATTGAGAAACTTTATGAGACATGTGGGTATTATTGATATGATCTGGACGAGCTCAAAAAGTTTCACTCTATGAAGAAGTTTTTGATTATGGTTTCTCATCTCAAACCTAAAGAAAAGTCATGTTGTATCATCTCACCGAAAGAAATTTCTCTGTATCTGTGTCCTGAGTAATAAAAAGGGTTCTCATACCCACTGTTGTTTGTTTAATTACCTTGATTAAAAATGAGCCATAACCCATCGCTTTAAGAGCTTATCTCAAAACTTCCATAATCTGTTTTATAAATTGCCATAGAGTTGATGATCTTATTTCTCAAAAAGTTGTGCAATTCATCAATTGTGAGATGATGAAGTCAACACTCGTGATAGCAAAAAGTGTGTTGAGATACAAGTTGAATACAATTTGGATGAACCAATATGAAAGAGTCACCTCAATGAGTCTTCAATTTTACTCGAGTATTTTTTTAAAAGTCTCACTATGGCAAAAGGCTCATGATCTTATAGATCAGTTTTTCACAGATTCATACATAAGATATCATTTCAGCAAGTCAAACAGTTGATCATTTGAGAGGGTTAATAATGGATACAATATTTGCTAAGCTACAAGGATAACAAGTGCTTGCTATGTTAAAGTTTGTTACAAATCTTGGTCTTGTTTGACTGGATTAATCCCAGAAGCCAGGATTCTTGCGTCTCTTGAGTTCAGCTCGATATAATGGGGCTTGGTCGTGTAAACGTACTGCGGTGCCATACGCAAATACCAACCCAGCAAGGGTTGGAACATCCAAAGAAGGCGAAAGGAATGCTTTGTAATCAATGATATCAAGCTTTTTGAGAAGGGCACGGGTGTGTTTGTCTTCGGGTGAAATCTTGGCCCAATTAAGGAAGTCTTCAAGAGGTGGAGGAGGACCTGGAACAGGTGACTCGATACAATTGTCGGGCATTTGGGAAGTAGTTTGAACGTTATCGGCAGGGGCAGCAGGTTGTCGATGAGGATGACCAGGTTGGTTGGAAATGCGGCGAAATTGGAATTCAGGTAGCTTGGGTGGCGACATCTCGGTTACTCCAGATTTGCGCTTGAACTGGTTCAAAGAAGGAAATTGGTCAATAAAAGATGATTAAGATGATTAAAAAGAAAGTACTTACCAATGCAGTTGCCCAAGTATCCATCATCGAATGGCTCAAGTGGACTGCCTCGTTGGTATTTTCTGGGTTGATAAGCCCCATACACTCCCGACCGCCAATTGAGACACATCCATAGTCCTGCATGAGCTTGACTCGGATACGCTGCCATTCTGGATTAACATCAATATCCTGTAATCAAACAGGGATCAGTAGAGGTTTATGATGAGGCCAAGATGAAGTCAGTACTTACGTGCATTTCTAATTCATCGATTCGATGAGGAGCCAATGAATTTGGATGACTGTCAAGAGTGGCTCGATCGAAAGTGTCCTCCTGTTCAGTATTTTTTGAAAAAGAACATCATCAGCAAATGAGATTTCAGAAAAGGAATCGAAAAGTAAAAAACTAACTTACTTTTGATTTGAGACGATGGGCCGTCTTTGGGTTATCCATGAAAAGTTTAAAACCAACTTCTTTACCCTTGTTCTCCTTCATGGTTTCCTTGAACTGGTCAAGGACCACCTCCGATGCGATAACTTTCAAGGCCGACTTGAGAAACGGTCCACGGCCAGCCACATAGCCTTTGAACGCCAACTTACCATCTAGATCAGCCTCTCTGAGAAGTGATCCGCATACCGCTTTGACTTCAGCACAAGCACCGAAGACGGCCTCTTTGACATCGACGAGTGTAGCCCCGTGGATTTGAATGACGGAGTTGAAAGCCGGCTCACTTGTGAGATCGATGTACTTCTGGGAGGTTCCGGCTTGTTTTTCAGCCTTGGTCTTCGGGATCGGAGTACAGACGTGGAACCATAGCTTGACAAGGCTTGGTTTGGCCTTGTCAGCTTCCAAGCTAGGTTGAATGGCCACTTCAGGGTATCGTGGCGGTGGTGTAACAGTTAAGTCGATGTCAACATGTGGTTCTGAATCAGAATCACATCAGTACACTTGATGAAAACTGTTTTCAACGGAGGGATGAAAGTACTTACCGCTCACAGCTCGAGGTTGACCTTGAATATCGTGATTCCCAAGCATTGGGTCGACGTGAGCCTGATCGATCAAGGCGTTGAAAGATATTGGTGGGGCTGGAACTGAATGATTGGAGAAACGGACAGAGAAAGAAAGAGAATAAAAAAGAGCGAGATGAGTGTTCGGAAAAGAAATGAGAAATTCTGAGATGGGTGGAAAAACTCACCTGGAGGCGGTCCACAAAGTCGACACTCAAATTCCTGGAAGCCTGGTTCGCGTTTCGGATCCAAATGGATCAATTCGTTATCTTGATATTGACGTGGGCCGCCGGTAACGTCTTCAAAATGATGGCCACGTCTGCGGAGAGAAATTAAACGCAAAGGTAAGCAGCTGAACAACTTTGATCAAGTGACATAGAAACGAAGAAAGAAGCTTACTTGTACATTTGATAAGGGCTACCATCCCTACCACGTTCAGGGCTAAGGCCTTCGGGTCCAGCTTGTCTTGCTTGGCGAATCGCACTGAAAAAACCATTGGTCAGTGAATCATCATCAATAAGAAACGGTTTTTGAATACTTACAGTGCTTCACGTCTTTTCCGTTCAGCTTCGAGAAGAATTTCTTTTTTGGTTGGTTTTTTAACCATGGTGGATGTGGAACAGATCGTTGGAATAGTTGTGGTGGGATTGAGGGTATAGTCGTGGTGGGATCAAGGGTATGGAGGGTATGGAGTCAAGTGGTCAACAGCAGTCAACTGGCCAAATTCAATCGAGATATTGCTATCTCGATTGAAGGCTATGCTTATATTTTGGCCTGTATTGGGCAAAATATTATTTTACAAAAACTGGGCGGGCCAAGCTTTTTTGGATTGACTGTATTTTACAATCTTCATTACTTCGGATTGTTCTTTTCTCTCGATCAGTGTGCAGCTTGTTTTACAAAGCTGACACCTTGAACAATCTTAGGTGTAAGTTGTTATGTTGTTTGTTTTATTTATTTATGGAAATCGAACTTATATTTTACAATCTTCATTACTTCAGATTGTTCTTTTCTCTCGATCAGTGTGCAGCTTGTTTTACAAAGCTGACACCTTGAACAATCTTAGATTGATTGATTCATAGTTCAATTATCCAAATAAACTTTGAAGACATTTAGAACCTCGCGTTCTTCTTCTTAGCTTTGAATGGTAATGTTGCTTGATAAGGTGGTGAAAGTATATATGGTAATGAAGCGTTTAAAAGTTGATGCAAGTTATATGAATCGATTGAATTGATTGAATAAGTTGGTGTTGGTAAAGATTCTGATCATAAAGAATGTTTTTGAATCAAATTGATCAGATATCAAAGCTTTCAAGTAAGATAGAATAGAACAAGCTTACCCATTTTTGTGTTTGGTGAACTTTGATCATCAAGAATCCTATAAACTAATTGACCATTACCTCTTCCATCTTTCCACGCATTAAAATCATCCATTGATTCATAAATGGACTTAGGTAAAACTTCATTGGATACGTTTTTGTGAATAATATAATCATTCCAAAGAGTCCAAATCGAGATTTCTTTACAAGTTTTAATTTATCTTTATTTCTTAAAATAAGTCTTGAAAGCCATTCGATTAAATTTGTTGATTCTCGATCACATACTTTGATGCCGTGAAATGTTCGGCTCGTCTCATATTTCCAGGGTTGATTCTTGCAGTCATTGGGTAAGTGGCAAGGAGGGTTAGGCTTTGATCAAGTAAGTACCTACAAAACCCAATGTAGTGATAGATACTTACCTGGGGTTGTGATCACATCAGCCTCGTCCTCAGCTTGTTTGAGCTCCGAATCCTGTAATTTGGTATTTATTCTGCAGCTTGGAGGCGTCCGTACGTTTGATCTCTGGAATCTTGACCTCCAAGTGTTCAATAGCGCGGCCAGCGTCATCAAGTATTGACTTGTTGAGGTTGATGGATAAAGATCCGATGCGAACATTGTTGATGTTGTGAGCTTCATCGAAGATAACAATCAAGCTGGGAGATATCTCTACTAATCTCTACTAAGATCCCAAAATGAATTTAGGATGATATTTAAGATTTGATGTATATATATGACATCAAGGTAACCGTCAGGATCAATAATAAGGAAATCAAAAGTAATCGTCCTGAGGGCAAAACTTCTTCCTCTGAAAAGTGGAGGATTTGTAAATTTTGTATCAATTTGTCGATTGAAATGATGATGATGATGTAGGCAAGAATAGAGCTGATGTGTCTTCTTTACCGCCCGGTAAAGATGACATTTTGTGTAGTGTGAAGAACATCCAGTAAGGCAAATGTGATTACTTTCAAGTTTCAGGCGAGGATGGAGCTGCCTGAAGTAGACAGTGTTGAATTTGTCGATTGTTGGTTTTGTCGATTCCTCAATTTAATTTGATTCTATTGTTCAGGTTTAACTTGAATGATGAATTTTTTGCAATCAAGGATTCCAATTCTTTCATAATTGAATATCGAGATCATCAAAATCGGCAAATCATCATCAATTGGGAAGTACAGTTGGATTTAATTCACATCGATCAAAGTTCAGAAGGGACCAAAGTATTAAATCTACCATCACTGCCAACCTAACACCATCCAATCAATGATACTGGTCAATATCTTACAGTCAAGAAGCAAATCAACTAGATCGACTTCAATACCAATCAAACGGAGATAACATTCAAGACTTCAATCAAAAGAAAAGACGAGTCGCAAATAAGGAGTAGAAAATGAAATTCAACAAGAAAAATGTCATTGAGAAGAACGTCACTGAGAAGAAGAAACAAAGACTGAATCTGAAGAACTCAATGGTCAAGAATCAATCTCAGTTAAAGCTGAACCATCTCAATCCATTAACTTTGTGACTCACAATCTACTTCATTTATTCATTGTAATTTTCTTATTCTTTATGTCTTTATTTCTAACTTATATTTTCAGTTAATTTCTGTTTTAAGTCCTCAGACCCTACTCAGAACAAAGAACTTATCCCGTCATAAGACCTTTGCTTTTAGCTAGATGACTTGTAACATGTGTTACAAGTCATTTCGCGTGTGTGGGGGGGGGCCTTTCGGGCCGCGGGTCTCATGGCCGAGTAGGCTCTCTACTACCTACTCTCAGGACGTATCGTCCGGAGCCTGCGGAGAGCCATCTCGGTACGTCGTGAGATTGCCGCGACCGTCTCTTTGGGTATTCTCCCCCGAGCCTGTCTTGTCATCTCTACTTTGACAGTGATCGACGACTGATGATTGATGTGAAGAGGAATCTTTATCATTATCGTCTATCTCAAATCGATTAACGTTCTCACTGTAGCCTTTTAACAGGTACTCTATCAACTATCAAGGTCTGATGTCTGTTAACCCTTTCTCGTCGAACATGGAAGCAATGCATTACAACAATATCGTAGGTAGGTTAATCACTCCTCTCTGCTGTCTCTGTTCTTCCATCACTCTTGACTGGTTTCAACTTCATTACTTCCAGATATACTTGGCATCTCTAATATCGTCCTGATTGTAAGTTCGTAGATACAATTGATAAGCTTTAGACTCCCATCTTCCTAGTCGTACAATGTCTGTCAACGGTTGTTTATCGTTCCAGTTGTATGTCGCACCTCCAACACGGAAAGAGTGGCCTGATAACTTATTACGTGAGTCATGATTCTTCCAAACTTTCTTAAAGATATTGATTGTAACTGATTTCGATAACGTATGGAATTTATGGCTTTTGTCCCAATAGGAGAAAATCGGGGTATGGATCAAAGGGATGTAACCTTCTTCCAATAATTGTTCAATCGCCGCTACCGGACACAACAAAGAATCTAAATGTGGAACGTGTAACCATTGGACCTCTCCGGGCTTAGCCGTTTTGGCATTGTAGAGTGCGATTTTTATGTAAGACTTATCAGGGTTATAAAGTAAGTCTTTTGAACAGATCACTCTCTTGTTCGTATCATTACTGACTAATTCTCCTAGAAGAGCCATTCCCCAAAACGCAACTAGTGCTACTGTTAACGCGATTTGGCCTTTGTGATCTCCTCTTGATAACCCTTTAGCTAATTCTACAAGGTGTCTAAGGTGTACCGGTTGTTTACGTGTCTCTTTCAATTCCTTTGCCTTCACATCTGCCACCTTCGATGCCTTCAATAGCAGCTTGATGATTTTATCGTTCTCTTCTGGAAATGGCAGATTATGGAAAAGATGTCAAGAGCGAATACCGGTGATGTACTTGGTGAGTGTCTCGGCTGTTACTTTGTGTGTCGCATGTAACTGACTTAAAATCTCTTCATCCTCCAAATTAATATTACTAGTCAAATTGGGCGGCGGGCGCCGCACTCACAACAAACAATTATCTCAGTCAATTCACATAGAATTCTAGGGGCTAGGCTGACCCAAATAGCACTCAAGGAGGAAAGTTCTTTATGGGAAATTGTTTGTATCACAATGCAGTAGAATCTATTCCACAGTTAAACTGATATGAATTTATAAATTATGAGGAACACAATGCCAACCTAAGTAAGTATTTGTTCTTCCAAACTGAGCAGCTATTGTAATAAATCTGAATCCATCAGAAGTGTAGGTCCTAGGAGATTGACATGATACTCCAACTTCTATCTACTTAGGGTGTTGTGGAGTTTGACAGCAGACTCCTGTAAGCATGAAGTGTAGACACTTCTTGGACCTCACTATTGGGGAGATTAGATACAGAATTCTCATATGTGTCAATATTATGGGGTAATACAATTTAGATCTGAAATGACACTGGGTACCAGGATCCTTGAATAACTCCACCAATTCTGGATTCTGAGTACTTTGCCTGTTCTGAGCTATGAAAACAAAGTTTCAAAGCTTATTTGGATTGCCCTGAGTGAAACCAAAAATCTCTTGCTATACAGCTCACATGGGGGATGGGTCTCTATTTGGGCGCTCCAGAGAGCTCCTTTTTGACTTTTCAAAGTTGCACCCCTGGTGGGGGTGTGAGGGCACTCCATTATGTTATTTTTTCAAAAAATACAATTTTACAAACATCAACCCTGTTTATTTCTACCTTATATATCAGAGTAGTGACTTTTACACATATGAAAGGCCGTTGCTATTTGCCGCCCACATGAAATCCATGTAGGCGCTGTCCAAAATACGCCTACATGGATGTTTTCCGCCAAAAAGCGCCTACATACAGCCTGTAGGCGCTTTTTTCTTTTTTAAATGACGCCTACAGGCTGAAAAACCAATGTAGGCGTCATTTGTGTATGCCTACATTCTGAAAATAGAATGTAGGCGTCATTTGTGTACGCCTACATTCTATTTTTAGAATGTAGGCGCTCGAAAAAAGCGCCTACATTTCATTTGGGCTATGTAGGCGCTTTTTTTAAGCGCCTACATGGAAAACACAATGTAGGCGCTTTCAAAAAGCGCCTACATAGCCAAAAAAAGGATGTAGGCGCTTTTTTTGAGCGCCTACATTCCCTCCTCTGTAAGTAGGCGCTGGCAAATGAGCACCTGCTAAGTAGGCGCTTGAAATTACGC